ATCGTATATAAAGCATGGTCCATGAAAACGTACAGTATAGGAGGCTAAACAGATAGACGGTATTTAATGGTAATAACGCTTGAACTACTATTAAACCACGATTTGGCCATAAAATATCATATCACTGACTTTTTTGATACGGTCCGATACTTTCATGTACCACGATATAACGTCTGATATAGAACACTTTTTTTTAATAGGTCTGATATAGAACACACCGCACAATTTGCTAACCCTACAGGCACGGGAAACACCTAACCACTAAATATTATTGCAATTGTAATTATATTCTATAATTTGAACTAAAAATCTGTATCGGATGGTATGCATACTTACACTTGTTGAATCATTTGTGGGCACTTTATCTTGCTACCTCTTTTGCGTACAGCATTAAATTTTTACAACATGACATTTATTTAAATAGTTTTCTTCTTGTCTTTTATTAATAATGGTGTTGTTACTTGTCACGCAAGAAATAGTATATCGATTATAACAAGACAGGTGAATGGGGACAATTTTATAAATTAAATACTCAAAATTTTAATCCATAATTTTATTGGTATGATATACACTTTGTTCATATCACTTTTCTGTTACGGGAAAATCCTTTTTTCTTATACAAAATGGCAGTGTTATTAAAGCCAAGCCGAGTCGCTCGGCCCGACCGGTAAAACCGCCACTCGGTTACAAAATTGACTCGGAACAGTCTAAAAGTCGCTCCGATTTTAGGTAGCGGCCGGCGACCGAGCCGAGCCGCTCGGCCCGACCGGTAAAACCGCCACCCGGTTACAAAATCGACTCGGAACAGTCTAAAAGTTGCTCCGATTTTAGGTAGCGGCTGGCGAGTGGCCGAGGCGGTTAACCGTTCGAGCCGATCGAGCCGCTCGTCCGGTTTTTGCCATTCAGCCACTAAATTTAATTAAAAAATTGCAAAAATTTGAAAATTGAAATAAATAAAAAACGCCGGGCTCTCAAACTGAATCTTTATTTCCATTTCACAATTTCGAAGGAAAGAGATGAGCTCTGATTAAGAAATGTCTACTATTTATACTGATGATAACGTTTATTAGGTACCGGTTCTCTAACGGTTTTTAAACGGTCTAATGTCGGTTGGACCACTAAAGTGCGAGCCGTTCGCATTACCGGATCATGCTCCGGTTCGGTTCTGACAACATTGCAAAATGGATCTGACTGATCGTTAGGGTTTTAGGAGTAGTTTGGAGAATGGGATTTAGGGCGTGGATTTATTGAATCTGTAGATTTTGTAAAAAGTTATGTTTTTTTTGTTGTTTTTTGTATTGTGGATTTCAGCTTTAGAAATTTCAAATCTCTAAAATCTACGGATATCAAATCTCTCATAATCAGAGAGATTCTATATCTTGATTCATGAGATTTTTTTCTCTTACATTTTCTCTTTCTTTCTTTTATTTATTTATCATATTAAATATGTTTATCAACAAAGTTTGTAATATTTCTCGAGCCACTCTAATTTTTTATTACTGATAAACATGTTATTTAATATAAATTTTTTATTTTTATTGAATGTTTACAATCACAGTTACCAAACAATAAATATTTTAAAATCTATTTTCAACAATTCGAAGATTTAGAATCTTTAAATTGTTGACAATCTATAGATTTAAAATCATATGCTCCAAACGACCCCTAATAATATTCAAAATTAAAATGATAATTTGAGTTTAACTCACTAGTTTGATTAGTTCAATCCATCTACTAAAAAATATAACTAATTAAATTATTTAATTCATATTCATTTAGATTGATATATTCATGAATTATTGGTAAATTACTTCATAATATCTCATGATTCCACCTATCTATTTGATCTAATCCATCTGCTACCTCTATTCAAACTTCACTCCCATATTTTCTTTACGGGCACTATTAAATTCACTTAAACTCTAACATAAGGTCTATTTGAAATCCCCTATCCCCGATTGTTAGATGTTTATGTCGGGCATTGATCCTGTGAAAATCTTGGAGACTATAATATATATAGTGGTCAAGGACCAAGGCAAGACGTCTATTTTTTTATATGAATTGTATAGGGTAAATGACACATTTGGTCACTGAAATTATTAAATTGTGTCATGTTTAGTCACTAGAAAAAATTAATATCAATTTTGGTCACTCGAATTACCGAAACTGGTCAAATTTAGTCACTCTCCCGTCAGTTTCCGTCCAACTCCATTAATGTAGTTGGACGGAAACTTTTGGGAGAGTGACTAAATGTGACATGTTTCAGTAATCCGAGTGACTAAATGTGACATTTTTCAATAATTCGAGTGACCGGAGTTGGACAGAGGCTACAGAAAAGTGACCAAATGTGACCTGTTTCAGTAATTCGAGTGACCAAAATTGATATTAAATTTTTCTAGTGACTAAATATGACACGATTTAGTAATCTCGGTGACCAAATGTGTCATTTACCCGAATTGTATATGATTCATGAATAACTTTCTCACAAAAATTCAAAATATTCGAACCAAATGATCTGTACATGATATCAGAACTGACTTGATCAAATGATTGTATGTTCGAATCTTTAATGCTATATATCCTAACACTAATCCATCACAATAAAAGAAGTGGGTGTGGGAGTGGAATGGAAGCCTAACTTCTAACATTGAATAGTGAAAAAGCATCAATCAAACAAAATACATCTTCCAAAGGACCTACAAACATAAATAAACAATATCAAAAGAATTAAAGACAAAGAAATCCAGGGCAAAATTCTGGTGTTTTTTTTTTTCAACTAGCTTGGGGTCCTTTCCTTTGCGTTGTCTGTCTGAAGGTGTGTGGATCATATTAATTAATTTAATCAAAGAAAGGGGAAAAGGACAAGTAGGAAATGAATGAGAGGTGGCACATAAAGGAGACACCTTTTGTTATTATACTACACTTAACCCTTTCTTTGTTTTGTCACCATCCTTAATTTCTATATCCTCCAAAAGCTTCCTAATTTCCCACTGATTTAAAGACCATTAAGAAAACAAATAATTCCCGAAAGTGACTTTTGTTTTGCATTATAGAATTTGTGGATTTAAATCTATGGAATTGAAATTAAATTAAAGAGTGTAAAAAATATATAGATTTGGTGCGGCGGGGAGTGGGAGTGGGACTGGGAAGAAGTTGTAGCCACAACAACAATAGACGTGGAAACATGCACACGTGCAACTATGCCAAGTAGCTGGGGGTGTTAGAGGTCAAAAGTACACTTATCTATAGATATGAAGCTCTTATTGGCTCGACGGTGGAATTGGTTATATTGCATCTCAAAGTCATTCTCGATTGATGAAGCATATAGGGATGTGTATTGGTTCGTTTTTAGGTGAAAATTTGTGCATACACAATTAAGTTGCTAAATTTAAATATGAGGCATGTTCAGTTGCGGAGCTAACTCGTGTCTACTGGGAAACGGGATCCAGATAAGGTCAAAAGTACACTTATCCATAGATATGAAGCTCTTATTGGCTCGACGGTGGAATTGGTTGTATCGCGACTCCAAGTCATTCTCGATTGATGAAGCATATAGGAATGTGTATTGGTTCGATTTTAGGTGAAAATTCGTGCATACACAATTAAGTGGGTAAAGTTAAATATTAGGCATGTTCAGTGGCGGAGCTAACTCATATCTACTTGGAAACGGGATCCAAATAAGGGACCTCTCTGCAAAAGGCCATCATTTTCACCACTAAGTTACATGCCACTATATGCTTTATTGCATAATAGTTATGGTTATGTAGTTACACGTGCTTAATGGTCTCTTCAATAAGGTTAAGGCAAAATTGCTATGTTGTGTGGCATGTTTGAATTTAGAAGATTCATTTGTGTAACTTTGACGAGAAAAGGTTGTTTAAAGTTGCAACATTTTATCCTAATGAAGTTTCTAAAGGTGATATCTTACATCTTGACTTTCGTCAACTAAATGTTTATATGGTTGATAGGAAGATAATTGAGAGGTTTGCGGGATTAAAGAAAAATGTTGAATTTTTAGGGAAATGGTTGTGTAAAAAAAAGTATTGAGTGTTTCAGTTAGTGCATCAACTTATAAGTTGATGTTGTTGCTACTTGTCATCGTTAGGGATGGCAACACAACTCGTATCCACGGGTACCTTACTCAATCTAACCTAGTCGAAGCGTATAAAACCCGCATTGACGGATTGCGAGTCGAGTTCGGGTTGAAACCCATTGCACTGTTCAGCGGGTTGGGTTGAGTCCGGATTTAGGTATATCCGGCTCATGGATACTCGTCCACACCGTGCTCCCACAATCCGTCGATTAACCGTGTTATTGTTCGTGAACGTTTATCTTTAATATTGAACAATTTGTATTGATAATTTATGGGTTTGCTTATATAAACTAGATTGGTGTTTTTTGTATGGATAATTTGTTTTGGGAAGATTGGTGTTAAACTTTCATTTTGACAAGAGATTGATATTATGTATTTTTGTCCATCATAACCCATGGGTATCTATATGGATACCCAGAGAATTGGGTTGGGTTTGAGGTTCTATAACCAGTTTAATTTTTCCTTGAGGTTTTTTTCTTGCTGATATACTCACTGAGTTGGGTTTGAATTTGACATAACACAACCCATTGTCATCCCTAGTCCTCACTACAAGTGTTGAAGGCGTATTTTCTTAAATAAACTATGCAAAGAACACACTTTGTAATCAGATGAGTGATGAAATCATGAACGCTATTTTGATAAGTTAAATTGAAAATAATATCCTTGATGGTTTGGATGATGAATGTACTTTAGATACTTTTTCATAATATGAAAACAAAACTACTGCATAACAATAATACATTTATGTTACTATTTTCTGTAAGCTAGGACCTAACTAAGAAGAATTCTTGACTACAGGCACATTCATCCAAATATACAATATTCGATGAATTGGGTAGGTTAATGCGGTCTCCATGTTGGTTGGGTGAATAAGGTGATCTACATAAATTGGAAAATTTATCTTGGAATGAGAAACTAACAAACACTGATACAAAAATTCACATGATTTTCTTGAGAAATTATATGGTTGATGTCGCCGATTAGCACTAGAAGTTCAATTTTTCCCCCAAGAAATACCCCATGTAGATAATATGCTATGCAAAATTAAACCTAATATTTATGAGAAACATCTAACCTAATATTTAAACTAAAATGTTCATGAGTATCATTAGTTGCCTTCACTCAATGACAACTGCAGAGCATGCTCTGCCTCCCTGAGAAACAATCTGGTCATCTCCTTTTGCCCTCTTCTGTACACTATGCTCGACCAACGATTCCGACCCATTGGCTTCATCACTTCATTCGAGTTTCCTTTCTGCTCAAACACTTCCTTCTGGTTCATGGTTCCAACGTCCTTAGCATTTTCGAGCAGCTCAATATCGTTTTCCTCTGTTCCTGTACCCTCTTCTAAATCTGCCATCCTGACGAAAAAAGAGCATTTATGTAAACTATGTCAAGCAATGAAACAACATGGTTATGACCTATGGTTAGGGCATGCTAAGAAGCTTAAGAGTTTTGCGGGTACTTGGTCTGCAGAATATCGACCAGCAACTGAAAGGCTCCTGAATCTCCACAAGCTTCCCAAACAGCTGTCCTTACTTCAGAGTCTGTAGGTTGTCTCTCCTCGTCAGAGCCTACGAGCTTTTAAACAGAAGCAGCATTAGTTTCTTAGAGTCTCATCGTAAACATTGCAAACACAAGTTTAGGTCAATTGCTATATTCATGGTTATGGACAAATCGATCGCTAGGGTATGTTTTTATCGGACTTATCACTAACGTTTGAAATAACGAACATAACAGTCACTATGTCAAACTCTGATAAGTTCTATGTCTAAGTAATGTGAGATAGGTAAATTGGAATTCCGATAGCCAAACTAGACAACTTCTATGAAAAGCTAGAATGGGCGGCTGTTCTTACTACAAACTTCAGTGACAAATTCCTGAAAAATCAAAGTTCAGTGACCAATTTGTCAGTGACCTCCAAAAGAGAATTCATGCGATTGGCCCAAAACAAAAATCAACAGAAAGGGAAAGTGTGGTTGGGGAAGGGATTGAAGCTTTTCTGTCTTTTACCTCTTCTAGCAATGAAGAGACCTTGAAAAGCTGGTCTTCCTGGATGGATATGGTCCTTAATGCAGTTAAGAGATCATCAGGAAACACCAGCTTATCAATGTATGAGGGCGCACTACGCTGACCACTCCAACTGAAGTTGGAAGCTTTTCTTAAATCAGGCTTCTCAGTTTCACCATTGTTGCTCGAGGAGGAGCCTGCCTGGAAGAATCCTTTGTTTAGCAGGGTTTTGGGCAAAAGATGTCTCATTTCAGCTTTCTGCGGGATAGAGCCAGTTTTATCAGAACTGTGAATTTTGAGAAAATGGTATCCTGCTAAGACTTTGGGAAAGACATATAATTTACCTAAGAGGTCAAGAAAGAGCTGACCTGTGCCTGAAGAAGCTGCAACTTGGCTTCTGAGAAGGGAGCACTCTGAATGGCTTCGATGGGGTAATGAACCTGATATATTCAAGCAAAAGTTCTCAGTGGGATGAAACACAATGGCGAATGTACAAGCGAATTGCTGCAGTACAAGGTCAAAACATGTCAAAAACTCATTCAACAACCACCTAATGTGTGAATAATATTAATCATTTGCAATGGGAGTGGACGAGAGGACATAAAACAGGATATAGATATGAAATGTGCATGCAAGAGACGTCACCATTAGGTAGTCATCTGGATTATTTTCCATCACAAATCCATAGAGATAGAGTAATTCCTGCATCATTATGAAAATCAATTAGGTATTTGTTGCACATACTACTCTCACAGTTGCTAAATATTTGGTAACATCCGGAAAAGATGAGATTTAACTATTCAAGAAGAATGACTACTAGTTGTTTAAGTCCATTCAAGAGGTAAGCTTCAGCAAGTACCTCATTGCCTTTGTTTCCATAACTGATGGAGATCTCTTTCCCAACGCTGAAGAGGCTTCGCTCAGCTTTTGAATTAACAAAGTTTAATTACTATGATTAGAGTAAACAATGTAACAGTTAAACCAAAGTCTTGTCATTAAGGTTTGACAAAGCCATCATTCGATTGAGATAAATGATTACACGAACACAACTCTACTGAAATATCGAATCAGAGAATATTTACCAGAAAGGAGGTACATAGAGCAAGGAGATCCAGTCACCAAGCCAGTCCCGTCTACCTCCCATGTCGCCATAGCCTTCAAGTCTGAACAGCCAGCCATATCCAGCAACGGCAGATAAACATTAAAAGTAGGTAGATTTTTTTACTTTGCAAATAGGGTTCACAAGTGAAACCTAAATAAGGGGATAATTGTACAATGAGAAACAGAGCTTCAATATATTATATGAACAACCTATTGCACTTCAAATGATAACTACAGTATGCAACCCTCTTACTTGATTGCTAAATTGTTATATATAAGCATTTTTATGTGATCTTGTCTCATTAATATAAGGCGTACCATGGTTGCAAAAATCAATGCCTGGAACAAGACCCTCTACCCAAACAGTATCCTCTTGACTTGAACTAGAAGGCGCTCCATTGACTTGGCCCTCAGAAACTTTAATTTTCAAATCTGTATGAGTAGAATAAGGAAATCCGAGAATGAGATAACCAATCTCCCAGCCTTGTTCTTCTATGGACGCCTACAGTAAGAATCAAATTAAGATGAATACCAAGAGGGAAAAATTATTTCTCACTTTCTCCACTGCTTCCGTTCACTGAAACTCCACCTTCACATAATATATCATCGACGGTGGAATGACAGCCATTATCCTCCTGAAATGTAGGAAATACATAGGAACGCGGAAAAGGAATGTTCAAAGCACGACTCCAGAACACAGAATTTGCCCTACAAGCAACGCAGGATAGCCAAAAAGGTAAAAACAACAAGAACCAAGTTATGTAAAGGATCAACTAAGTAAACCATAAGTAATATTTGCAAAAGAAGACAGTTTGATTTAGCAGATACGCACCATAGGAAATCTTCAAAAGTGGCCTCCCTGTCAAGAGAAACAAGAGAAATTATGAACTTTCTTTCAAATTGATAGATGCAACTTATGTGATGTGCAATAACTCAACTACTGAAGGAAGATAGCAAGGTCCATTCATATTGGGAGTTGTCTGTGGAAATGAATTAGAGAGAAGTCGAGTAAAGGAGCTCACCTTTCGGTATTCCCATCAAGAGCAAGAAGTTTTCTCACCAGACTCTTCACTTTGTTCTCGAAGAGAGACATCAAAGTCTTCTTCTGTAGAAGCACATCTTTCCTCAATTTAGTTATAGGATATCAAAGACGGGGAAAACTAATGATCCAATGGTTGATATATTGACAACGACATTCACAATCCACAATTCTAGACTTTTACTTATTGTGAACAGCCTAAGGGCATAATGCACCTGTAATTGAGTTGCCCGATACAGTGTAGTCCCTTCCAGCTCTAAGATCTCATCATCAGTAAACCACAGTGGGTTCCCAAAAGTAGTTGGAAGCATGTCGAGGTACCTTATGTGAACAAATATCAAACATACTCAGCCATCAAAGGACCTGGATTCAAACTTGTACACCAAAAAGAAAAAGGCTGTGGGTACTTACGGCTTCCAAGAAGAATTGTTCTCCCTAAGGCGCTCCACTACAAGGAACAGAATCATCAAGAACCTGTCATCCACTTCTCCTTCTTCAAGCATCGCTCTACAATCCGGTCCAATGAGGGGATCTTGCAATACCCTCATTGGAGTTATTGCTAAATCCAATGGAACAGCAAGAACAACTCCTGCAAAAACAATTGGAATCAAAATTTGTTCAGCAACCAATCACTTGATCCAAAAGTAAAATGTAATCCAATCGACAGTTCAACTTTCTGCCATTTCAGAGAATCAAACATACTCAATCCCAAATCAAAAGCCAAAACCATTCATGGACGAGAAGCTTTCATAACCCTGAACATATTGCCCTGAAATGGGAATTGAAGCTAAAGAATTTCGCAACCCTTCATAACATTAACTAGCACCAACAAATAACATTTGTCCTGAGGAAATCGATCTTGTCCACTAGACATTCACACGGCAGAAAGAAATTGATCGATTACCATCATCGGAGACGTCGCCGGAGGAAAATAATCCGAACCCTTTATTCTGGTAGGGTTTAGGAGATTATTTGATAATTCTTTCTTGACTAATGTAACACAAACTCACAGTACATATTTATAGGGAATATGAGAAAACCCTAATAATAAACCTAATACGACTAAAAGACTACTAACTATAATAAGAATTAATCTAATAATAACGATAATAATAAATATGCTAGAACACGAAAATTATGTTTCTAACACGTTTTGGTCTCAAATTGACCCACCCGGTTACTAGCGAGTTGGAATAATTGTGACCCGCAATCCACCTACATACCTATGCGGATTGGGTTGGGTGGGTGACGGATGGGTGTGATTGGGTCATGGGTCAACTCGCAAAAGCAATTCTCCAATTAGCCATTAAGAAAGTTGGCTAATATTTATAATAAGTTCATAGCAAATTAGTAAGACTGTATCAATAAGTTGTGATTTTGATACAATTAATAACTTATAATTTGCATTCCAATATTTAATTGATATTAACAATAATTTGCATACCAATATTCAATATCTAATAGATATTGCACAACACAAAACCAATAATAGTAGTCAAAAGTATTCTTTATTCTCCACCTTGTGAAGTATATGGTCATATTGTAGTGCAGTTCGAAAATATGATGAATATTCTATACTATAATAAACAACATTTTTTCATGTAAAAATAGGATGCGGTCATACGGGTGACCATAATCCACCCAACACCCACCCACATAAGTGTGAGTGGAAGTTTTATCAATCCGCAATCCACCCACATAAATCACTTATTGCGTGCGGGTCGGGTTATTTGCGGATGGATCGATATCAATCCGCGGATTAACCACCACATGCCTACCCCTAGTTTAATTGATAATCGAGTCGGAACCAGTGATTAATGGTTATATAAATAGCCGAATGAACAGTAAACGATAGGTACTTGGTAGCAAAATTTAGCTAACTAATAACCAAAGGTTAAACGATTAGTCATTGACGGTTACCGATTAATCAATTAATGCATCCTTATAGTTAACGTCGAAAAATAATAGGGCCTTCGGTGAGCCGCACACATAGGTCGAAAATAATGGAACATGTGAATATTACAAGATCCCTTTGCTACCCTAGTTGTAATAGTAATCTAGGTTCAAACGAGAATAATTTCAAAGAAGGGCTATTGAAAGAGAATAGTAAAAGGTTGGAGGTAACATTTAGTGTGTAATTCGGTTATAACTGAACCGAACTAATTGTCATCCCTAACTGATAGTTTGGTATAGTCAATCTAAGAAGTAGCAATTGATTGTTAAGTTTAAATTTATTTAGAGTTTTCTTGTTTTTTTTATAAGTATGTACTTTTGATTTACCTCATAACTAATCGATAAAGAATGTTACAAATCAATTATCCTTAATCTCCAACCTTATTCTCTCAACCTAGGAATCCAGTATCTCCTCTCCTTAAGGCGCTTGCCATTCTCTTCTATTCTGCCCATTTTTCTCTTCTACATCACGAATCCGTAATTCTTGTCCTTCCTTAATTCTGCAAAATATGTTCTTCAGTCCCTGATTTTAACATTAATTCTCCCTAAATTTATAATTCCCCAATTCCGTAACTCGACTCGAAGACGCCCTAGATCATTGGATTTCTATCACCCAATGGTGTCGGATTCTTGGTTCCTAATGATTCACAATCAATCGTTTTTTGTTTCCCAGCAGCTACAGAAATTGTTACAGTACCGAAATGAGTGTGAAGTCTCCACTTGCTCATCCTCTTCCTCTTTTAGCCTTTTTCTTTCTGGAACGGTAATGATTCACAAAGTTATCATCATGATCACAGCCCATGACTGGTGGAATACGTCCAACCTGCAAAAAGGCTAATGAACAGATAATGAAGAAGAGAAGGTGGGGACTTGGGAACGGATATCTTAATCGAGTTTAGTCGTTTTAATTACTTGATTTGTATATTTCGGTTTTGGAAAATACTAATTCAAATTTATCCCGAAAATTAGAATTATATGGTTTGTTTACAATCAAATTGGGTCGGATGGACGGTACTTTTAAGTGAAAATCAAACCCAACACTAAAAAAATTATATAACTAACTAAAATTTCAAGCAAATTATATTACCTGACCTGACCTGTGATGAGGCGGGTATTACCCGACCCACAGTAAAGTGGGGCGTGACATGGGTATCTATTCTCGACTCTTCTTGCCCCGCCCCATTCTTGACCTATTTTATCTCAATTTCTTATAGGATCTATACATATTATTGTTCATGGCTCCTAAGCTCAGGTGTCTTATGTGCCAAATTCTTAATCGGATTTTGCCAATGATGGAGGGCCTAAGGCTTAGGGAGGTTCCGGTTTTCGCACGTTGTCCGGTGTGTCGAGTGGAGGAGGAGACTCTAGAACATATGCTCTTTGAATGGAGGGTTTCTAGGGCTCTATGGGCGCAAGCGGGTTTAGGCATGGAGGATGTGGACGTACCCCAAAATGTGGGTTTGTTTGTGCGGAGGTTTTTTTAGAAGGATCTGCCATCGTCTAGTTTGGTGCGCTTCATCTGTCTATTGTGGTGGATACGGAAAGCTAGAAATCTGGTTGTTTTTGAAGGTATGCAATTGATGTTTCTTGTTCTTGCTCACCATTTTTTCGTGCAGGTAGAGGAATGGCTAGGTTCGCTAAGCTCGGGGAGGGATAATTAGGGTGGGGGACGCATACGGCGAGATGAGGGGGAATTGCAGGTGGTGTGTTCCTTTGATGGTGTAGTCTGCCAGGGTTCTCATGCAGAGAAGAGTAGTCATCAAGGATGGTACGGGGACAGTTGTAATGACTAGAGGGTTCTTGTTCCAGGGGCTGGACAATCCGGAGATTGTTGAGTTGTTATCTTTGCGTGAGGCCACCCGTTAGTCTGGGAATAGTGGAATTCAACATGGTCGGATTTAAGGGGATGCTAAACTGGTCATTGACAGAGTTTGGTTGAGGGTGACTTGGGATAGTCTGACAGGTGTCATATATGAGATGGTACATAGGATGCTGCTCCAAAGGTCGGGTTTGGAGATTTTGTTCGTCGGCAAGCGAAACAATCGGGTAGCCCATATAGTGGTTTAGAAGGCCCTTTCTTTGTTTCATGTAGGTTGTAATGGTTTTAATTTTTGTGTTTGGCTTTCAGCGGAGGCTTGTATTATGTAACTTTTGGTTCTTGTTAATGCAAATGATCTTTTAAACAAAATAAAAAAACTCGCTCTCATTATGTATGTATTTGGGTCGGTTTTTAGAAGTTTTTTTATACTTCAAAAATTGAAGTCAGTGTCATAACTCGGGCTTCTTGATTAGTATGATATTGTCAGCTTTGGGCCAAGTCCGCACGGATTTACTCTTGGGTGTCCTCCCCAAAAGGCCTCGTACTAATGAGCTTAGTGGACACTAATATACAAGGGTTCCTTCCCTTGTATTACCGATGTGGTACTTGGATTGTCCCATAACAATCCTACCCTCAAGACAAGAACCACGAACTTCGTGTCCTCTCCTCACCGATTATCTTGATTCGCCAGACGCCTTGTACCGGTGGGCTTCTCGGTACAAGGACTTTACCAGACACAGAACTCTCTTGGATATGCTTCCCAAATGCGGAACTCTCTTTGATCCGCCAAGCCCAACCCTGGATCTCTTCTGGATCCACCAAATAGACGTGAATCACCTTTGACCCGCCAGACAAACGCAGATCTCAAATCACGAGGTCACCGAATGAGGGTCCACCAAACTAACGTCCACCGCCCCGAACCGAAACCAGGCTCTGTTACCACTTGTCATAACCGGGGAGCTCAACTAGTACGATATTGTCCGCTTTGAGCCAAGCCCGCACGGATTTACTCTTGGGTGTCCTCCCCAAAAGGCCTCGTACTAATGAGCTAGGTGGACACTAATATACAAGGGTTCCTTCCCTTGTATTACAGATGTGGTACTTGAATTGTCCCATAACAATCATCCCCTCAAGCCAAGGACCACGAACTTCGTGTCCTCCCCTCAGCGATTATCTTGATCCGCCAAACACCTTGTATCGATGGGCTTCTCGGTTCAAGGATTTTCCTAGACGCGGAACTCTCTTTGATTCGTCAAGCCCAAACGTGGATCTCTCTTGGATCCACCAAACCAGATGCAAATCCCAAATCCGAGGTCACCGAATGAGGGTCCACCACCCCGGATCTACCGAACCAGGCTCTGATACCACTTGTCATAACTCGGGCTGCTCAATTAGTACGATATTGTCCGCTTTGGGCCAAGCCCGCACGGATTTACTCTTGGGTGTCCTGCCCAAAATGCCTCGTATTAATGAGCTTGGTGGACACTAATATACAGTGTAGTCAAAATCGCGCTTTAAAGCGTAAAATCGTACGATTTTACGTTTCTAGGGTAGGAAAATGTTTCAAATCACTAATAAAATCGTATTTTACTCAAAATCAGTCAAAAGCGTTAGTAGAATCGTTAAAATCGGATAAAAGCGCGCTTTCATACCGTTTTTATCCGATTCCAAGCAAAGGAGAAAATTGTCTCCGCCAAACAAAAACGACGCCATTTTGATCACTTCGGACACAAAAAAAAGGGGTGAAAGGGGGTGGATATTAGGATGAGGTTGCCAAACCACTCTTCCGCAATCCCTAATCCTCCATCTCCAGCACTCCAGCACACTCTGCGCCGCCGCGCAGCCGGCCTTCTAGTGAAGTATTCGCCGCCGCTGCAAGTCCGCAACCGTCGTCGCCACCTTCCAGCGAAGCTCTAGCCCGCCGCACTCGATAGCTCCAACGCGGCAGCACTCGTCGTCGCCTGGCGCCACTCGCTGGCGCCACACTATGTTAGTTTCTGTCTCTATCTTGTCATACCCCGTCGCCACTTCACCTATGACTCATAAATGGTGGGTAAATGCTTGGATTGTCATATTAGTAATATACAAGGGTTCCTTCCGTTGTATTACCGATGTGGTACTTGGATTGTCCCATAACAGTCAAGTCAAACAAATTTATAAGCATGACGGTAAATAAAACAGT